AATAATGGAAAAAATAAAACTTTCACATCTAGTATTAAAAACTTAAATCCATTTTTATACTGTATATCGTTTTGGACACAAAAATAGTATCTCAATATCACAGAGACTTAAAAATAATGGTGAACTCGAAAAATCTAATCAAAATACTTATTACTATTTTTGACGGCAATGAGGTTTTGACCAACATTTGTGGTTTAAATTTGAAATGAAATTTAAATCAATATTTTTATTTTGGAAACGGACTTAAATTTATATTTTGTAATTTCTTGTTATTTCGCACAAATTATAACAAATAGTGAATTCCTTATAATTTAAAAATGATTTATTGCCTTAAATTTCAATACTGTATAATAAAAACTTATAAATATTAAAGGATTTCTAGAGATATTGATACAGAAATTGATTAAAAATATTCTGTAGTTTATAATACAGAGTGGTATTAGAGATAAAAATATAATTTATTGATTGGATGGATGTCTGAGACGTTTATTAGTAATGAAAAGTGGAAATTGAAAATAAGTTATTTGGGACTAAACTGATTGAACGCATAAATAGAGCGGAAAATTGATAATAAATACGAGACAAATAAAACTTATTACTAACCCTATAGTAGGGTTGAATAAAACATAATTTAGATCACAATTAATGTCACAAACAAATCACACAATTCTAGAGAATTATAATTTCAAATTTATTTTTATATCATTTTATTGCTATTACATTAAATCTATTTGATTGAACTAATCATTGATTTGAATAAACGTCAAACAATTAAAATATAATACGGTAAATGTTTACAAAGTACTGTAGTAGACAAATGTTAACTTTTTAGTCATTATCTAAATAATTTTAAGTCTTAATTCACTGAAAATGATCGTCAATTGATTCAAAAAAAGGCAATTTCTGGAAAATATCACAAATATCTTTATAATCAATATATTAATCGCTCAAATCATCGATGGTTTTGATGAGAGCATCAAATGCCAAATCAATCACTTCAGTGAATGTCATATGAGTTGAATTGGGATCACTTTGGAAACGGGGAAAGACTGCTTCACTTTTGGCACCAATTCTTTTACTCCTCTTGTCATCCTTTTTGTATTTAATGGTCTGATTGGGTGTCATATTGTCATCGAATGGACCCATTGGTCGCATCGACACCTGTTTGACCAAAGTTTTCATTTTAGTAACAATTTCTCAATCATTGGTCTCAATGGCAAACAAATCATCTCTAATGACAATCACTTCAAATTATCTCCAAATCATTGCTTACATTGGATTCATTGACCATAAGAGAAGTGTCACATTCACTGCTTTTACGACTCTTGGATTCAATCACTGTCTTAACTGATCCGGAAGAGCTATCACTGGTCATCAACATCTCGATACTAAAGTCTGACAAATCGAGACATTTGCTAATCATTCAAAACAATTCATCATTTATTATACCATCCAATAGTTCCGGTGAGTTATCGCCCAATTCATGAGATGTCTTCACATCAATGGCTGATTCCTTAGTCAATACTGAAGTTCTCGGAGGTTTGGATGGTTTCTGTCCTTTCGGTATGTCTTCGGTTGACTTTCGGCTCGTTTTTGGTTTTACTCGATATGTTTGGTGCGAATTGTCTGAACCTTATGGACAATACATATAATGATTAAATGTCATCTAAAATGAGATAATAATTACTCGAGTCTTGAGATCTGTTTGTCTGATATCTTTCAGAAGCTTTGGATAGAAGTAGTCTCGACGGATGAGAATCACCACTACTTTTAGAAGACCTACTCTTAGAGGACTTCACATCTTCATCGGTGGGGATGAGTGTTATGCCGACACTCGTGTCACACGATTTGCTGCCATTCTTCCACTTCTTGACCTTTGATTCTGTATTTGGTTTTTAATGAAATTGTTTTACATTTTATATCAATTCATATCAATATTACTCGAGTCATGGCTCATATGGTGGACATCACTGTGAGATCCATTGAGTGATATATCAATGCTATTGTCACCAATTTGGTCGAAAATGTCTTCAATCACATTTTCAATGTCTTTGTCTGTATGTGTCTTGAGTTTGCTTTTGTCTCTCCTTATAAAAGCCAATAATTTGTCTGAAAATCAAAATCAAGTCAATTGTGAAATGATATGAAGATTGAAAAGCAATTCAATATATGAAGACATGAAATAAGACTCACGGATGTAATACCACAACAAAAATGCAATTATCAATGTGGGAACCGCTACATACAGGGTAATGGCTAGTGCACCGTCCCATTCCCACTCCCATTCCCCTTCCCTGTTCATTTTGGTGTCACAATTAAATCAAATTAATTGACAATCAATTCATTGAATATAATAATCACTCAAATGAATGGCTATTATGTGGTGAGTGTTGACTGCAATGAATGAATGCATCACTCAATCAATGCTCACAAATACAACACTTTGTAATAAAAGTTCATTTTGTAGTCAGAGTTCATAATAATTGTAACATTTATCACATTTTATAGTAGTCTTAACCCATTGAACCCATTATTTATGAATTAAATGCAAATGACTAGTACAGTACAGTACAGTATTAGTAATTATTAATAATAGTCAATGTATTATTATACAGTCCATAACTGGCTATTTTCTATATATCTGGTGTGCAGGGTTACTATTTTATTGAATTATAATTATGCAAATTAGTGACCAGATTAGTAAAAATTATCTAACTAGTCAGTAAAATCTATTCTGGATTAGTATGCATTATATTATTATATTACTGGTTTATTTACTGGATTTGTAGATACAGAATTTAATTATTTGATTGTTTCATTGTGTAGTATTATATAATTAATAATAATGGTAATATGGTCACAATAATACAATACTTTATACAAACATTTGTTTATTTATTTGTTATTAAAAACGTGCAAATATTTGCACTTATAATTGGATTAAAATATTAGTATTTATAATAAATATTATCTATATATTCTGTACAGAATAACTTAATGAATGCAAAAATAAATTACAAACATTTTGTTATATGTTTTCAAAATTTGCGTCTGTAATGAATCAAAGTTTGGGTAATGAATCTAACTTTAACTAGCTAGATAAGCTAAATTATTGTTTTTAAACATCACATTTGCCACTTCTTCATAATCTCTCTCTCTCTCTCTCTCTCTCTCTCTCTCTCTAATGATATTAATTGCTAACAAATTCAATGCAAATTTGTGCTCAAATTCTGTAATATATTTCTTTGTCAAATGAATACAACATTCAATTCACGTCATTGTTATTCTTATACGTGAGCCATCACTGTATCACTACTTTATACGGCACTTCCTAACATATAGTCCACTGTAAGCCCTCACTCCCAGTAACAACATATGGCTAACTGTCCAATCATTTGATCAGTTCAGCTAATTTAGTGGACAAACCATTAGGCCTTAGGTCTTGTAATCCATTAGAATTATCGCTGATTTTTCAGTTTAACAAATGTTACCAATTTTTAAACGCAATCCAGATAATTATTGTTTTGTTATTTTATTTATTTATATATATATTGTTGTAAACGAAAAGTCATTTATAAATTGGTTTCATTGCTATTGCTATCAAATAAGGAAATAAAAAATTCTTTTATAAAGAATTTTTTAAAAAGAGTTTTTGAACACAAAATTTTTATTTAGTTATATAAGTCTCTCTC